TAACACAAACCTGTTTGCAATAAAATCTCCCAATTTATTGCTGAACCAATTCTACAAAGCTAAAATATATTCTATAAAAATCGTTATTGCATGGAAGCAATAAATTCGAGAATAACATGATGAATTAATACAATAAAAAATTAGTCAACTCGTTGTTGTTACAAACTCTGTATTGCAACTTGCAGCTTTCTGAATGCTCTATAATTTAGATACTGAAGAAATATAGAAATGAATACATATACTCATTAATTTTGTATAATAATAAATACAGATAATAAACATAATACTATCATAGAACCAATATTACAGAAAGTAAACATAATAAGAGTGGAAAGTGCAATTCTAGAGTCCTCGAACTATAAAAAGGAAACGTGTCTCGTCATTCGCGATAACTTATAACTAAGAATAATTACCAGACCGCGCCTTGTTTATTTATTATATTAATTACCAGTCTATAAGCAAAGTAAAAATTGTCTGCAGCTGTCACAAGAAACAAGAAATAAATACTCTCTTGTTAGCAATTTCAATAACTTATGACTAGTGCTACAATGCGCCTAAATTCATTAAATGTTTCTATTGTTTCTATTTCACCCATTTGCATTGTCATTACCAAAATCAAAGTATCAACGTAAAAATATCTGAAAACAAGATCATTTGTCTGACGATCTTCACGATTTCTCACGTCGGTTCCCCGAAGATTTAATTGTCTCGAGATTTCATTTATCGAGTGTCACAAACTTTGTATTTTATACGTATCTCGAAGAATTTCGAAATTAAGGGTTTCGCGGGTTGCGAAACTACAACACTGCAAAACACAGTGCAGTCGGTTCTCTTATATAACGTTACGCAAGCTCCAAAATGTATCGGTTCCTGCACCTGCAGGATCCCACACGGCAGTAAATAAAGGCTCTCGCCGAAACCTTCTGGAAGAATATCTAAAAATGGGCAGCCGTCGTTATCTCTCCTAGTCAGACGTTTTAATTACGGCGCTTCGTGTGCAATAATTTAATTCTCGCGAATTCGGAATAACTTTTGCGTACGGAATCGGAAATTGAATTTTATACGACATCCCCGATCCTATGTCGAAAGAGATATCTGTGGTTGCAAAGAAGAAACAAGAAGTAGGGTTTTAAATTGCATTATTTTTTACAGCTTATCGAATTTGTTTTCATTATTTTTCTCTAATGGATACGTAAACTCTATACCCTGCAGCTCAATTAATATATAAACTTAATTTTATGCCTTACAGTCGTGGGTAAGAATAATATTCAAACACCTTTTAAGGTGCAATAACTTCTTTAAAAATGGACCTAATTAATTTAATTTTTTTTTGAGATAGTAGACTAATTGTTTCGTTTATTAGACAATGAATAAAAAATGTTTGCAAAAATTGTGTTCTGTTCACGTAGCAAAACAAAATAAGAAAATCATGTTTACCCAATTTTTTGTGATGATCAAGATTTATTACAGCTATTAGTCGCGCGAAAGTTGTGAAAAACTGCGATTTTCCATATTTTGAATTGTTTGTAGATGATAACAATAATTTCAATGAAATTTGCAGCATGCATTTAATAAATATACATATATATAAAGAGCATTATTAAATTTGTCGTAAAAGGTACAGACAAAAAGGTTGAAAGAACATAATTTCTTTTTTGTTTTCTCATTCCAACCAATTGCGCAAGTTATGCAAACATTTCGTTACTGATCGTCTAGTAAATTTATTCAGTTTATCACCTCGAAAATATTCTAGTCATTTAGTCCATTGTTATTTGCCTATCTAGTTTCTGACGATTAATTGGAATTTCCTCATGTTTCATTAAAGCCCGTAAAAACATTAACGCGTCTAGAAGAAGTACCTTAAAAAAATTGATAAATAAATTTATAAATGAGATTCTAAGCACATTCAGTTATATTCTTGTGAAAAAAAGTTCGCCGTTCGAGTGTTAAAAAGTTATTGCATTTTAAACAATGTCCAAATAGTATCGTTGCTCAATCCGAATCGTCCATTCTCGTACATTCTCTTTGATCGACTCCTGATTCCGTGGAAGGTGACAGAAAAACAGTTAATACGCGGGTGTAGTTACGACCTCGCCACCAAGATTCACGATCGACCGCTATTTTATCATTCTCGTTTCGCGTGTCCAGATCATCCGTAAAATTTGGAGGCGTTCTCGTACGCGGAGTGGGGCAGCGAAGATGGAGGGGATTAAATAAGGCATTGCCTTGTCCGAAATTCGCCCGAATATTCGGATGATGGATATATAAAGGGATCCTGTGCTCGATATTTCGAGTCAGTGCACTGAAAGGCTCTTGGCGGGAGAACCACGTTTTCCTTTATACATAAAAACCAAAAAAAGTCCGGGAACGACGTCATCATGATCCGACCGGTGAGTCTGAGAACAGCGTAGGCGAGGAATGTCTCTAAACCTTCTCCACCGGTGGTTAATAGGCATCGAGTATCGGGAATCCACGTTATGCCCTATAGTGTGCCACTGTGTTGCGTAATTGCGAGATGCAAACCGCTCGAGCCGTTTGATAAATCAGGAATATTGAGCTGAAAATGTTGGAGAAGTAATAAACGTGAAATACAGATCGGTCGTAGAATTTCTATCGCAGTGCAGTGACATAAGTTGCTCTCGGACGAGTATCCAATTTATTCGAAACTAAATTCAATTGGTAGTGGAAGTTTCGATCAGATTTATACAGGCTGGTCATTTGGAAATTTTAAATCAAAATATTTCAGAAACAACGCATTTCTGGGAGAAATGTCAAATACAAAAGTTACTCAATTTCAAGGGGAAAATACAATTGTTTTATCTTGTTCTTTGTTGTTGATCGCTTCGATGGGGTGACTTTGTTTCTTTAAACCTATATTTTTGTTCACAGATTTGTATTCTACGCGAAACAAGAATTGCGACTTTGAAAAGTTCTAAGTTCTCTTAACATTTCCTCTTGATAAATTTTCTTAAACTAAATTTTCTTAAACTAAACTTTCACTTCAATTATAACGAAAAGATTGGAACACACCTCAATGCCGCCACAAAATTGAGTGCATCACGTATCGACTGAAAACTTGTTGTGACGCATACTTGAAGAGTGAAAGTTACCGTGTTGCATCTCTGCAACAATATGCATTTGAAGACTGTTCGCTTGCTTTGGGTTGTCTATAAAAGGTTGTTTTATTGGTAGATTTTTGCATTCATGAAAAAATGAGAAGATTATTAGAACCATAGAAAGGTTGAAAGAATTTTGAAACATTAATATAATATTTCGGGCTTATTAGTTAAACATTGTTAAAGGCAAAAACAAACTTTGATAACACTTTAATAAATAGTTTAACTCTTTAGCTATGTATGATGACTATACTCGTCATGGCACACAAGTATACTGGCCTTAGCACTGCGATTGAAATTGTTGTGGGACATAATCTTCAGACATTAGAGACATTTTGTGAAACGTGTTCATCAGATATTATAGATTTTTTGTGGAACGTATTCTTCATACATTAAAGACATTTATTAAATGTATTTATCAGAGATTATAGACATTTTGTGGAACGTATTCCTCATATATTAAAGATATTTATAAAACGTATTTATCAGAAATTATAGACATTTTGTGAAACGTATTCATCAAACATTATAGACTAACTTTAAAAGAACTTACCGAAAATATTGTACACAGCGTGATCAATGAAATATGTGCATAATGTATTTTCAAATTGATCTGTAAGCCTCGAAAATATTATGTACAGCCTTTTTGTCTACACATCTAAGAGCTTACTACAGTTTTCTCACAAGTTCCTCAAACATAATCTATCTGAAAAGTTTCGACTAGAGACCTCCGAAACTTTAACAATTCGCAGCTGACAAATGAAGCCAAATTGTCCAGCACTCGACCCTCTTTCTAAACATCGATCTACTAGATTATCATTCAAATTTGGTGGGAATCTTGCAGGTAATCGTCTTATGCGCCGTAGCTGCGACAGCATCCGCTATTCCGTTGCTCCCAGCGGAGACACCGATTCCTATTCTAGAACATGACAGGGAGGGTCCTGCTCCAGATGGAAGCTACACGTACAAGTATCAAACAGCAAACGGTATTCAAGCGGATGAGTTCGCCTTCCTTCGATATCCTGGCACCAACTTGGAGTCTCTCGAAGCCCGCGGTAGCTATAGCTATACTGCACCGAATGGCGAGCTCGTCCAGGTGAGCTACATCGCTAACGAGAATGGATTCCAACCCGTAGGTAGTCACATTTCGCCTGAGATCTCTGAATACGCAGCCATTCAGAACCGAGGGCAAAATATCGGCGATCAATGAATAGATCGAACAAGTGAATCTGAATAAAGGCGCGCGACACATCTCTGAATCGTTTAACACTTCGACTGCGATTATTTGCTCAGATTTGAAAATTATTATAACTTTCCAATATCTTGATACCATTGAACGAAAGGGATATTTTTGAGTTTGTCGATGTTGTAGTTGAAGGTTAAGAAAACATCAGAGTTCGGACGATTTGCTTCTCGTGTGCAAGATATCGAAGATTTGAACACCCATTGTGATAGCTGCTAAAATTGTTGACGCTTTATTCCATAGCAATGTCAATTATCTGCGCAGCTGGGTCATTGTATCAATCTTCTCTTGTACAGATTTATAGATTGTTTCAATTGATTTCGTTTACACGCGAGTGTTTGTCTATGTCAGCACTCAAATCATTCATTCGAGTCATTCAACTGAATCTTATTTTTAAGACTGAAATTTTTGTTTTAGTTTAGTATTGATAGCTTTTAATAGTTAGATAAGACTTTTGATAAGAAGTGAATTTATTTATCAAAAGTGATCGTTCTAAGATCAAGAATATTGTCGACAGAGAATTTTTTATGTAAACTATAAGGAAAATCAGTACGTGAAGCTCGAAATCGTACAATTTCAAGAGTACTATTATTTTCTTTTCTAATTAAAATTATTATATTATATATATATATATATATATATATATATTTCCTTTTCTAATTAAAATTATTAAAACGAGGTGTAAATTTAATTTTAGTTTCTGATTCTTGTAGTTGCTTCCGAAAATTCTATTTTTGATAAAAATTCACAGTTTATACACAAGGTATTTCTTTGTTTCTACTTATTTTTATTCGTTGGTTGTAACAAAAGATATTGTAAGAAAATGATAAGGAAGTTTTGTAAACAAATTTCATATCGATCTGTTGCATTTTCATCGTTGTCAATGAAACAAAATGATTTATTATAATTATATATTATAGTATAGTATATCATTCTTACGCCGCGATTTAGGCAAAAATAAAAATTATAATTTGAAAAGACTGTACTTTTTAAATGTTTTTGTACTATTTATAGTATAAACATTTTACAAATGGAACTTGTTATTATAAATAAATGGATACAATAAACTTCATCTGTGCCGAGGAAGAATTTATTGCAAACTATGAACCGATAATTCTGTAGCTCTCAGGAAAATCGTCGTATGTCAGAATTTCAAAGAATTGAAGTTATTGCATTAATTAATTGCGGCACGTATTTATCAGAAAAAACATCGTAAAAACAAATTTTGTAGACTTAAAGAAATTATGCAATTTGAAACACTACTAATACGATGCATATGGCAATTTTCCTTGCAACTCAGAATTATGTTCCTCGGCTTCGTATTAATTATATAAGAACAAGAGATGAAGAGATGAACACATATTTTTTCAACGTAGAATTAAGTAATATGAATTATACGAGATCTTTGAAAAAAATTTCATACACAAAGAAATCCGTTTCTCAAAGTAATTTTTAAATATTGCTTAATACTACAAGCAAATATTACTAAAAATATTACTGCTATCCTGACAATATGTCTGCTTTTTTTTACACTACATCGATAACCATGCACAAGTGATAAGGAAAAGGGTACAGTAGCGCGATATTAGATGCTTCTATCAATACTAATTTTTGTCATGAATGGCTTCGATCTATTAATAAAACAAACTAAAACTTTGAAATATTTCGCGAACTATCATTTCCTTTTGTGCTTTCATATTTGTTCCAAGCAGAATATTCAACAAAATCGATGTCTGAAAAAAATATAAAGTTCTATTTAAAAAAATACAGCACTTGCATTTTTTGAACGCATCGTTGCATTCGTGAAAAAAATTAATCCTCCTATACCGTACAATTTTTCCCAGTAAAACCAATTTTATCACTAACCAAACTCGAGATATCAACCGTGCAAATTATTTGACTCACCTTCAATACTTCCTTTTCCTATTGATAATTTATTAACAGCGCCATCGCTAAAACAATCATAAAGCAATGGGTTAATGTATTCGATAAAAATAACTTATTGTCGAAAATGACTGAACGCAACACTTTCCAAAAATGTATTCTACTATGTTCCAATATTAGTTCCAATTTTATTTTAATATATTTATTTTATTTTATTAATTTTTATTATATTTATTAGTTGCAATATTATTAATATAGATTAATACCTATGATAAACAAAATAATCGAAAACTTTTCGCATATTGATGTATAGAAAGAATACTAAAACTCTCTCAGAGCTCTCTCTTGGTATTGTCTGCTAATTTATAACAGCTATCCAAACCGCTTTTATATATTGGAATTTTATTTTTATTTAAAAATATTGTAAAATTTCACGTTAATATGTCGCGTAAGCTTGAAGTAACAGTACTGTTGTAATTAATGCATTATTGACAAAAACGAGTAAAACATGTACAATATTATAGAAACGCGTTAGTAGAGTACAGTATTTTGTTACACTATTTTTTTTCGTCTTATCAAAATCGTTAATTTAACAATTCTAGTATTCGAATTCTTTTTCCAGGGAAGCGTACACACAATACGGGTAGTATATTTATTTATCGTTCCTCGAACACCGTATAATACAAATATCACTATACAAAATGGAAATGTTCGTTTTCAAGTACTTTCATAATTGCCTACGAAAAAGAATGAATTCCTTTCCACATTTTCTATATTTCGATGCATCAATGAACGCGATTCGTAAGATCCGATTAACTTTCTACATTTATACATGAGATCACAACTGATCAGCCGACGAAGACACAAGCGAAATTCACTAGCGAAATCGAAACTACAGCGCGTGACAATGTTCGATGAATGCGATTCGATTCGACTCGATGAAATTTTCTACGAGAATACAAATTCGTTTGAAGTTATAGTACGTCATTAAACCCCTTGCCTTATAATATAGTGTTAAACTCGTGGCAGTTATACATAGCGAAGGCCAAAAGAAACAAAGACATGGTTCGTTTATAATAAACGTATTTCTATTTAGCCGCAGTTATTTTCAGTCTTGACTACGGGCGAGCGTAATTATTTACTCGTTACTACGTACTGCACTCGATGTTTTATGCATTTTTTTTACCATCTCAAAAGAAAAATGAGCACAAAATATGGTAGCTATTTTTGATATATATCTATAAATTGTTATAGCAGATTTAATACAAACTCGGATTATAAAAATGTCGACACTAGGCTACGCATATTTATGGCATGAGCTTTAGAAAATACAAGATAACATTTGTATTATTAACAAATAATAACATTTAATATTTAATTTTCCCTACAATGAGTCATCTAATCAGAGAAGGAAGCTTTTCTCTAATTCAGGCTCTAAAAAATAACGTGTGGCAGTGAGAAATTGCATAAAGATCTACAATTCATGTAGCGATTATACGTATAGAAGACTCTCTCCTCAAGTAAACATCCTTGCGAAAAATTATAAATGATTTTGCTACTATATCATTTACTATGTTATATTACGAATCGTTAACGAAATTGTATCTGCAAGCACTAGAAAGGCCTACGTTTCTATCACATTTTTGTTTATTCTATTATTATATAAAGTTTATGTACAAATATGTATTTATAAAAGGAAATAACGTGTTCCGTTTCATAAAAGCATCGCTGTAGTTTCTTGCAATTAACAGGTAAAAACCAAACATAAAGTAAATGTCCATTTAAATAAGAATACACTCTTGTTTTGTGATATGCATTCAGATATACGAATATTATCACCATATATTAATCACCAACAGCATTGGCGTTTTAAACTCAGTTAAATTTGAAAATAAATTTTTGAAATTGATTCGTAATCAAAATTGTAATCTGCTGTCGTCTGTATCGATTCACTTTTGCTGATGATGAAACTCTCAAATCACGCATGAAACACATAGTCTTTTTCTAATCAGATCACTGTATTTTATAACCAAGATTCAATTTCAAAATCAATTTGTATAAGAATGAAAAACATTAGGCAAAATTTTGGTTGTCAAATTTAAATAGCTTTAGTAATTAAGTAAAAGATATTAAAAAATAATAATAACGATATTCTGAGGCTGTCTTATACTTTCTGAAGCTTTCTACAGAAGCATAAAAATCCCCAGTTTACTCATTAATATCTGTGTAAATTTCGTTCAAGTAACGTAGCCTAAAAGTGTTTCTAACCACGAGGATCAACTCAAAATCAGCAGTAAGTGAGTTAAGTGCTGAAATCCTTCAATTTAAAATGTCTATTTGAAGCGCTGAGAAGCCAATCAGCGTAGCCCTAGTCTTTCCACTCAATTGAACAAATTCTGTATGATCAAAAACTTCAGCTGACAAAGCAGTATTTTATCTGTTAATAAACAACACGTATTTCTTACGACATAACGCTGAACGTACCATCACTGGTCAAATGACCGATTCCACATTTTTTACTCTATAAATATTAAAATCATAAAAATCATAAAGCTTCTTCCATTGGAAATTCTTTAGTGTATTTCTTCGTTTAAACGCACGCTATTATAAAAATTGTACGAAATTAATTAAAATGAATTCAGTCTTGTAATTCTTGTAAGGGAATGCAGTCACTTTAGACCTCGGTACGTTCACTGTTAATTACCTTAACTTTTATGCCTAGGAACTTACGACGACTGGCTTGCGATGCGTGCTAAATATTTCTGATAGCGGTGTATCCGACAGGTGATAAGAACATGGTCACTAACGTGGACATTTACTTTACGGCCGTGTCGTGAATCGTTCTAGCGCGCAAGTAATTTAGTCTCTAGCTTGAACACGCGCCGTCACAAGATTAAATCGTGAGGCAAGGGGTCAATGTCTACGATCTCAGTTTCGTTGGTTCGGCCGCAACGATTTGAACTGCCTGTTGTTGTTCGTCGGGACAGCATTCTGTTGGCTCGGCGAGTCTTTGCCGGTTTCCTTCGGCTCCGGGGTGGAGGGTTGTTTCGCGATCCATTCGAGGGCCCTTTGAATTGCCGGTGGTATCGGCGGCGGTGTCGGTACGTGAGTGCCGGCCACTTGGGTGCCGAATTCGTCGGCGGTCCAGCTGATCGCGATCGGCGTGCCGTCCGGAGCGTTGTACTGCACGGAACCTTGGATCAACTGGGTCTCTTCCGGCGTGCCGGCGTACTTCCGACTGCCGGTCTCCCTTTGCACAATACCGCCTTCCGTCTCGTACGTGAACGAATAGTGGCCACGGTTGTCGCCCAGGTCCCTGTTCTCGGTCACGATCTTCTCAGGCTGGCGGAAGTACTCCTGGCACTGGGCCGCTGCGACCAGCGCAAGCAAGATCTGCAAATTATTCGTTACTGTTAAGAGAAAGTTCCTGTTGAAATTTTAGCCTCGAACAAAAATTAATCTATAGTTTACTTAGTACTAAGATACTAAGATATCGGTTTACATTTTCGCCGGTTCCGTCAGCGGGCAACGACGGTGATGTAAATTGTATATAGTAGATACCGCGATACATCATCACCGGTACCATTAGATGCACATCGTGCCCTGACTGTTTGGGGATCCCAGCGTCACGTACACAATGTGAAACGCGACAAATAAAACGTCTCTGATTGGTGGATAAGACGAACCCAAGAAGGGTATAAAAGAAGCGTTTTTTCTTACCGGACTCTCAGTAGAGTTTGGTCGCTCGATCGTTTTCGCCCATATACCTTCTCTCAATAAAGGAATAAAATAAAGCCCTTTTAAGCAAAGAATTAGAATCATATTCATTTTCATTCCATAATCCCAACAGT